AAGCAAAGAACCAACCTCCAATTACCTTTATTACCAAGAACTCCTTTGGATTCCTCATTGATTCTCATGGGTCCAGCTAGTCCTCATTTAACCACAATTGGACCTGGTAAATCCATTGTTAAGTGATGCGGTCACTATGCAAAAAGCCGCATCAGACTTACGACATCACTTTCGATGTGGTCATCAAGTGAATTAACCCACAGTCGTTAAGTGAGACGTCATGTGACCACGACTTAAAGATTTTACGGCTGGCTCCTCTATCAACTCTGCTTGTTGGAAGCCAGCAGTGAAGCTTGCAAATGATGACTAGAGTGGTCGTAAGTGCAAGAACTGTTTGTAAAAGTTACTTTCTCAGCATCATCGTAACTTTGAACAGTCACTAAACAGTGCAGTTGCTAAATGAAGACTCCCTGTGTTCCTTAGAAAATAAAAAACGTCGAGTGATTGCTTTATCTCTCCCACCAAAAAGAGAAACAAAAGAAAAGAAAAAGGATTTTTTTCTGAGTGTCCCACGTGATTTCAAAATGTGAAATACAGGAAGTCCTCGACTTATGGCTACAACTGAGCCCAAAATTTCTATTGCTAAGCGAGACAGTTGTTAAGTGACTTTTGCCCCATTTTATGATCTTTCTTGCCACAGCTGTCAACTGAATCACTGCAGTTGTTTAATGGCATAGTTGTGGAGTTCCCCATTGACTTTGCTTGTCTGAAGGCCACAGAAGGTGATAGCTGACGGTTGCAGTGTCCCCTGTTTACGCAACCATCATAAATATGGGTCGTTTTCACACAACGTTTGTGTGAAAAATGGCCATAAATCATTTTTTTCCAGTGCTGTTGTAACTTCAAATGATCGCTAAATGAAAGGTTGTAAGTCAAGGACTACCTGTAGAGCAAGAAGATTGGAAAGTCCTGGTCTTGAGAATCTCTGGCTTTCCAGATACCATTGCGTTACAGTTCCTCAAATCCCTTAGCTTTAACCATGCTGACTAGCGCTCCCGAGAATTACAGTTCAGCGACGTAAGGAAGCTGCAGCATTTTCATGCTTGTTGCATAAAATGAGGGTAAAGCATCAGATAAAAACAAATGTGCTTTTAAAAAAATATTATTGTTGTAATTATTTGGAAAGAAAAAAAGGAAAGAAGGAAGGAAAAGAGGGAAAGAGAAAGAAAGAAAGAAAGAAAAAATAAAGAAAGAAAGAAGAAAGAGAGAGAAAGAAAGAAAGAAAGAGAAAGAAAGAAAGAAAGAAAGAAAGAAAGAAAGAAAGAAAATCTCACCAAACATTCATTTGTTGCACAAAATAAAACTAAATCTACTCATATGTTTTAGAATTAAATTGTTAAATTTAAGTCACACAACGCCCAAATGTTTAAGTGGTTATCTTAGGAAGATTCCCTTTGGTAAATTGGTTGTTTATAAAGGAGAAGTGGGTTTCTCTTACTTTTATATAACCAGATAAAGAATGGAAGCCCTTTCACTCTTTCAGTGTCAATTGTTTTACAATTATAAAAGCAGAGAATATTCACTTTCATTGTCCTCTTGTTAATTTCCAAAGAGTTAGAATATAATCCAGAAGATTATAAACATGTATAAACAAGACTAAAAAAAACCCCACTGTTTCTTCCAGAACAAACTGGATCCACGTGTCTATTGTGTGAAAGGCTACCATACCTATGACATTATTCCTAATTGTATTTGATGACATTCATTTTTGTGGGCCAGGGAAGCTTAGTTTTGAAGGGACGCATACAAACTTTAAAAATAAATAACTAGAAGCATTAGAATATCAGCCAAAGTTTAACATGATTTTAGCCAGGATGAATTTTTTTTTTTATGCAGGCATTTTTCAAAAGATATAGGTGGCAACAAAGCTTTTTCAGACACATTCTCTTCCTCCCTCCCTTTTTTGGCATGATGTTTATTTTTCATACCACAATTTATATTCTACGCAGAGAAGGCTCCAAAATCAATTAATGTAATGGTGTGTTTTTTTTTAAAAAAAAAATTACATCCAATCTGAATCATAAATCTCCAATGAGATACTGTCCCTAAAACATTTTGGAAATATTTTGACAGCGAAGGTTAACAATCACGATTTCTTTGAAATCGGCTGAGGAACATTGTAACCCAGTGCAGAATTCTAATTTGCAAATGGATAATATGGAACATGTAACACATAAAGGCACGCTTCCTTTTGTTCCTCTTTTTTTTTTTTTTATAGGGTTGGCCGACGTCCAGTCCTGCTCTTCTCAGTGTTGTTCATTCTAATATTTGGACTGACAGTGGCCCTCTCGGTGAATGTGACCATGTTCAGCACACTCAGGTTCTTTGAAGGGTTTTGCCTGGCTGGAATAACGCTTTCCTTGTATGCATTACGTGAGTATTGCCTTCAGAATACATCTCTGTAAAAAAAAAATGTGTATGTTATAAGCCTCATGTGTTTTCATATGATTATGCTAAGAAGATTGAGCACCAATTCTCTCTCTATATATATCTCATTACTCAGTTTCGTCTTGTGTCATATTACTGAAAAACTAGTCAAACTGGCTGGTGCAGCTATGGTGTTAGAACACCAGCGTAAGTGATGCAGAATGAAGGTAACCTAAGAGGGGGGGGGGAGTAAATATTCTCTTGGATCACATTTAATCTAGCCAACCAAGTATGGCAAGTTAGTATGCTCTGGGAAGTATGTGGGTAGGCACGATTATATAGACTATACAAGATGTCTCTTCCATCTCATCCTTTAAAAATAATTATGCATTGAAGCCAAATGCCTTTTTCATTGTCCGCTGCATCAAAAACATATTTTGACTGCAACTAGGCTCAAAACCAACATTTCACCCTAAAATTTCTCTTTCCCTTCCCAACCTACTCCCGAGTTGCTTTGGAAAATACTGCGCACCCAGATCTCCAAGCAGACTTTAGACAATATATGCAAAGATAAGAATAGACCATTTTTTCTGATAGTGGTTAATCCGTTAGATTCCGAGGGCAGTGATGGCGAACCTTTTAGAGACCGAGTGCCCAAACTGCAACCCAAAACCCACTTATTTATCGCCGGGTGCCAGGTGGGCGTGGCCCACTGGATGGGCGTGGCTGTGGTGGTCATGGCAGATTGGGTGGGTGTGGCCAAGGTGGGCGTGATCGTCTCAATGTTGCTCGTGGGGAGGGACACCTGTGGGGGCCGGGCAGGGTTGGGGGAGATCCAGGGGATCTCTGGCAGGTGGGGTGGTGGGCAGGAGGCTTGTCCTGCGGGGTGAGGCGAGGCAGGGCGGGGGTGCCATTGTCACAGGGCAAGGTGAGGCAGGGACCGGGGCGGCTGCTGCCTGACACCATTGGCCCCTGCACACAGAGGCCAGCGAGAGCACGGGTGCTGGGATGCATCCAGCCATGTAGGACCTCGGCGAGTGGGCGGCTGGTTGAAGAGGGTCGGCTGCCATCTCCAAGGCATGGCGAGCGTGCCCACAGAGAGGGCTCTGAGTGCCGCTTCTGGCACGCGTGCCATAGCTTCACCACCACTGTCCTAGGGTCTTCTTTTTCCCGAGCTTCCTAGCCTAGCCAAATTAATCTTTATAAGATTATGCAAAGTCAGATAGATGGTCTTCAAAGGAATACCCACAGCATGTTGTCAGTGCGAACTTCTGTGATTTGTTCTGCGAATCCATTCCCAATTCTTTTTTCTGAATCTTTTCCCTGTCACTGTTTTCATTATGGTTGCTCTCGGATCAAGGACATCCCAGTTAAGTAAAGTTAATAATATAAGTTCATGTGGCAGTTAGGATAAGGAAATAGTCATCCATCAATATTGCTCAATATAGCATAGGGGAGAAGATTTCCCATGTAGCCATACTTTATTTACCTGTTTTACGCGTTTCCTTAAATACCAGTTCCTTTCTTAGGTCAGAGAGGGAAGCCTGCATAAGGGGCTCAGTTTAAAATAATTAAGTCAGAAAACTTTCTGTATGTGAATCAATTCTAGCAGATACACCTGAAAATTAAGTACAGACTGTACTGTGCAGCCTAAAAGGTCGTAATAATGGCTTGTGTCCAAAAATTCTCTTTATCAAAAGAAAAAAGTGCCTTAGAAATGTTCTGTGGACTCTTACAAGAAGTAAAGAGTTGAGACAATTGATGTCATTTGAGACTTTAGAAAGAGTACAGAGAAGAGCAACAAAGATGATTAGGGGACTGGAGGCTAAAGCATATAAGGAACGGCTGCTGGAATTGGGTATGTCTAGTTTAATGAAGAGAAGGACGAGGGGGGACATGATAGCAGTGTTCCAATATCTCAGGGGCTGCCATAAAGAAGAAGGAGTCAAGCTATTTTCCAAAGCGCCTGGAGGCAGGACAAGAAGCAACGGATGGAAACTAATCAAGGAGAGAAGCAACCTAGAACTAAGGAGAAACTTCCTGACAGTTAGAACAATTAACCAGTGGAACAACCTGCCTCCAGAAGCGGTGAATGCTCCAACACTGGAAGTTTTTAAGAAGAGACTGGACAGACATTTGTCCAAAATGGTATAGGGTTTCCTGCCTGAGCAGGGGGTTGGACTAGATGACCTTCAAGGTCCCTTCCAACTTTATTATTATTATTATTATTATTATTATTATTATTATTATTATTATTATTATTATTATTATTATTATTATTATTATTATTATTATTATGTATGCCTCAGTTGCTATCAAATTCTTACTTTCCAACTGGTAAACCTGTTCGGTCTCATTTCTTCCTTATTTGCAACTTAAGCCCGTGTTAATGTTTATATAAGCATATTTGCTTAAAAAATGAACATCAATCTGTTGGCTTTTTTGCAAGCAGTGTTCCTAAAATTAAACCTCTTTGAAGATTTCTTTTCGCAAATGTAAACATCTGGATCACACATTCTTCTAGTAGCTGCATTGTAATGTACATTTTATGTGTGTAAAATTTTGAAAAGTACAAAATATTTAAAGATTTACAAATCAGTATGGGAAGAAATCATTTCCTATCGTTGAGATAAGTCTCAGAATATTCCCTGTAACCATTGTTAAGGTATGATTTATCTAAGGATAGTTTATTGGAAAATACTTTCTCAGACACAGTTGGACTGAGTTTATAGACTGCATGGAGCTGTAGGCCATGATTAACAGACCACAGTAACTGTGTTTACACAACCCCACCTCACCCCCCAAAGCATACTGTGTCTTACTGAGTTGGATGAACCAGGAGATAGTTGAGAACTTTGAATCTGGGTAGACTGGCTATCCTGATTTAGTACCCAAGTACTTTGATTTTTTTTATGAACTGAACAAAATTCTCATAATATGTCTTGGGAACACAGAAGTGGAATGTAGGTCACAAGATACAATACCACATAAAAAGATACAGTCATGCCACTTATAACATGACGCAAAAGCTTGTTAAAGATTATCTCGAACAATTAGAAGACCTTAGGGCTTGCGGTCCTTGTTTCGACACAGTGTTATTTCACCTGATCAGAAATAATTCTTCTAGGAACAGAATATCTTTCTGCTAGCTAAACAACATTGTTGGAACCAAGCCCATTTCAGTACAGTATTACTTTCTTTTGTTTAAAGATGCATACTCGGCTTTTCCACCATAAAAGCCCTTGAGGGGACCTTCAAAAACAGTATTACATCATGTTCAAAGTGTTATACCCAATAGAGAAGTTTAATGAATTGTGCTTGCCAAGTTAAAAGAAAGTAGCAGCGGTGCCAGGGGGAAATGTTTAATCATTAAGAACCATGCAATTAATCTAGATTACAGATACAGAATACTTCATGCAGTTGTATCATCGTCAGCATCCATCATTTAACCCTTCAAAAGTGGAGTGTTGTTTACAGTTTTAATATGAATACTTTGCCTAGCTAAGTTCCTCAATCAGTAGGAAAGGAAACTGAAATTTCATGGCCCAGTGGACTACAAATCGATTGACATCTGTGCTGTGTAATGTGCAATCCTTTTGGTACATAGCACTCCTTTATAAAATGTGAGGAATTTCAAATAAAAATTGTGATTTATGGTGTGAGTTGCAAGGAAAGAGAAAGAGAAGATGACCCCACAAGATGGATTGATTCAATTACAGTTATGATGAGTATACCATTGGAAGGCCTGATAGATCTGGTTGAGAACTGTTTGTCCAGGAGAAAATATATCTGGATGGTTATTAAGAATCAGTATTGACTCGATGGCACATAATCAGTTCAGTCAGGGCATGAGCTGGTTAAAAACTGCCTTTATGAATGTAATCCTCTATACCCGTGGAGGTGAACCTATGGCACGTGTGGCACATGTGACACGCAGAGCCCTCTCTGTGGGCACGCACGCTGTCACCCCAGTCCTAGGCCTTCAGCTGGGTTTTATAATACCTTTTCACTTTAGGCTTCCGCCGCCGTGTGCAAAAAAAAAAAAAAAAGATTCAATCAATCAATTTCAACTTCCCGCAGGGAAAAAAAAAGATCTCACAAAGTTGGAATTGATTGATTGAACTTTTTATTCCCACCCAGTCTGCTGTTACCACTGCAGCCACGCCCACCCAATGGACCATGCCCACCCAATGGGCCACGCCCACCCGGCACCCGACGATACATAAGTGGGTTTTGGGTTGCAGTTTGGGCACTCGGTCTCTAAAAGATTCGCTATCACTGCTCTATACCTTTGTTCAGAATCAGAAGTATTTTTCAAATCATTTCAATACAGTCAAATCATTTCAATACAAACCAAATATTTCTTTCTGAGGCGTCACGTTATAGTTAGTGAAGTCACACACACCTCTGGAAAGAACACATAAAGAAAAAGCACTTTATGGAACCTGATTTTTCTTCTTCCCAAACAAAAGTAAAACGTACACAACTGCAAGCAAATTTTTATTTGGATTCAAATAATATCTTCATGGCCAAATTAAGATAGTTCTCATTTAGCAACTACCCCATTTAGTGACCATTCACAGTTATGACAATGATTAAAAAAATAACTTCGCAACCAATCCTCATATTTATGACCTTCACAAGTTTGTAAAGCAAAGAAAAGGTAAAGGGAAATCATAAGCACAGTTGTGGTTTCACTTAGCAACCACTTTGCATAATGACTGAGTTGCCAGTCACAACTGCAGGAGCTAAATGAGGACTACTTATATGGGCAAATAACCCAAGAAGGAAAGTAATATTCCCAGAAAACTTTGTAATTTATTAAATAATCCCTCCCTCCCTCCCTCCTCCCTCCCTCCCTCCCTCCCTTCCTTCCTTCCTTCCTGTAGTAATATAACCATATAAGAAAGTAATGCAATTAAGCAGGTCAAAAAGTACTGGCTAGCTGCATTTATATTCTGGATTGTTGTGCAACAATCCCTCCTTTCCTACAGGCTTTTTTACAA